TCTCTCTCTCTCTCTCTCTCTCTCTCTCTCTCTCTCTCTCTCTCTCTGTCTCGCTTTCTGTGGCAGTTGACTTTGTGTGTTATCTAGTTACTTGCTTAAATTGACACAGGTTATATTCAAGTTTTACCGTTATAAAAACATTATATATATTCACATTTTGTGTGTGCTTTCGACAAATAAAAACGGAATATTGCTTACAAACATAATATATACATACAAACATTCACGCTCACACATTCACACGGAGCGAAGCGTAAAGAGGGGAATTTTTTGTCATAAATATAACGCCGAAAAATTGGATAACGTTTCGTTTTTCCTTCGTCGTTTTTCTGACACAGTATGGAAATGATATTGTAACTGCCACAAATAATTCAATCACATAAATGCGGTTACTCAAATGATGCTTCAAGGTTTCAATTGCACAGAAAATTCGAGTCAAGTGAAAAAATTTGGCATTGCTGTCAATGCACGGTTATTTTTAACTTTTTCAGCATTTTTGCTTCTACGGATATATATTGAAAATCTCATCGAAATTGAACACTTGCTCCTTTTCGAATGAAACTTCCTATCATTTTATAGCATATTCAAAACTTCATCACTGCACCTCAACACAGATAAATTGATGGTTAAGCTTTAAATATTCGTTATGATATGCTTTTAGTTCGTATTCGAGCGTAGAAGGTTGATCAAGTTAAAATTGCTGATTATTCATCCATTTTCCCATTTTTCTCTCTACATTTTTGCAGCTCAAAGATGAAACTGTGCAAAAACTTTGACTATTTTCCATTAAATCGTGCAAATACCTTGTGTTCATCCGGAATGAATTTCTCGGTGTAGAGAAAAAAACTTTGTTAAGTACATCCATTCATTTCAAATCGATAGAGTCAGCTCTCTGACTTTTTTCCCTCCCACTCAAACTGCTATAAAATGAATTAAAATTTTTTGAGATATATTGCGCACGCTTTTTTTTGTAAAGTTCAGCATAATCTATTTAAAACAGAAAAATTGGTGCATACCATAACGCCATTTCAAGTGGAAATGTATTTATACGTTTTCATTAAAAATGTATGCATAGATACACAGATCCTTTGTCGCTTCACCAGTAAAAATCGTAACAGAAAAAAAATGCTGCCTTACAGCCTTGGACAAGCAGCACCATGACGTTAGAAAAGCTTTTGTAAACATATAACGTACAATTTTGGGATTAACATTGTGAGGTTGACACATTTGTTTTGCTTTGGGACGAATGGTTTTTATCATAAATTAAATGCAAGTAAATTTCACATTTTCTTTCTTCACAGTGGAAATGGGAAAAAAATGAAAAATAAACCATCGACGCAAACATTGAATTCTGCGAAAGAGAAATAATTTCCTCCGCATTGGAGCGAGTTCTTTTGATCGAAATAGAATGGGAAAAATGTGGGGAGAAGCATCCAATCAAAAGCACACCAAAAGATGTATCGATTTTTAATAAATTTTCCTACATTATGTCCCAGCAAGGAAAAATCGATGTGAATAACATGAATGTTAAAAAAAACGGTGAGTGCTAGAGGAGAATAACCGAAAATGAATGAAGAAAACGGTTGCAATCTGTGGGAAAAGTGAGTGTTTGGTACGTAAATCCAATTGTTCTATTAGTGGCAGTGTGAGTGTGTAGCTTTTTCTCTTGATTTCGTTCTTCGTTGGCTTTTCTCTCTTCGCTTTTGTTATTAAGTGAATGTGTGTGTATGTATGTTTCACGTGTGTGTATTTGTGCGTTTTTGGCAATATCAAAGCGTCTTATTATTTAAGCGCATAAATAAAATAAAAAATGTAAATGGTTAAAAACGGAATTGGTGGCGTGTATAAGCTATAAGGTTACATGTCGACCTAAGCATTAAGACCCCAAGTGTGTGTACATGTTGTTTACAACCCAACAGCTTAACAACACAACACACAATAAGATTCCAACTTGCCACATACACAATATATATATATATATGTATATTTTTGTGTGTGCGATGCGAGAAGTAGAAGAAGAAGAGGAAGGTGAAATTGGTGAATATTTTGCTCGCTTTGTTCTGTGTTTGGCTTGATTTTTCGAGTATATTATATTTATTTCTTGCGAACGAGCAAAGACCTGGACGAAAGTGAGCGAGAGAGAGAGAGAGAGAGAGAGAGAGAGAGAGAGAAAGTCAACGAAGAGCTTTTCACTGTTTTTTGTTGTCGTGTGCGTGTATTATATGCCACATTTATGTTTGGATAAGTAAGTTGAAAAACCGAAAACTTCGAATCGAATGAAGAGACAAGTGAATGGCTGTAAGTAGATGGGAGCGAGTGAGACGGACAGCACTCAGTTGGCGACGTTGGTGGCAGAAACGAGATGGAGTTATCTGTGAATTTGTGGTTTTTTCATCTTTCTCTTTGTGAATTTGCATGAATAATAGAATAAAATACGTACAATTGAGCCCATCTAAGCCATTATATGCAATATGTTGCCCGACTTTCAGAGAATGACTCTGTTCGTGTGTGCGCGGAGTGTATGTTAGTGTGCGGCAGAGAGAACTTTTATTCAGTGCGATTTTTTTCTTCAATTTATTTTGTATGGAAATACGAGAGAGAAAAAACCATTGACAGTGAGACAGGGCGAAAAATGTGAATCTTTTCGCATATTTGGTACGTAAATGTTGAACCCAAACAACAACGAGAATGGCACGCATACCAGAAAAAACGACACTGATAGAGAAAATGAGCAACAGCACACGTCTCTACCGAGCCACTCGGCGGCTGTTCATTAATAATTTATTCGCATTGAATTGTGTGCAGCAGCCAGCATATAAATCGCATACTGTTCAATTGTGCTCAATTAAGCGTGTATCGTAAAAGGAAATATGTGTGTGTTTGTGCGATACACGGAGAGTGAAAGAGATGGAAAAAGAAGAGAGTACGAGGGAGAGAGTCCTCATTCATACAGGCAAAGGTGTGTATGAAGCGTTCGCTCGTTTCGTGTCTGCACTGTGCGAATGAGTGGAATTCGATTAGCACGTTTATGGGCAATATTTTCGGTATGTTTCAACTTGTGTTTACTGCTTACTTAGTGCTTTTGATGTGCACAGATCTTCGTTTTTAATTCTCTGCGCTGCTATAACTCGGTCTACGTATGCTTTTCGGTCTCATCATTTATTCAATTCTGACAAAAAGACAGCAGCCCAATCGCATCTTGAGTGAGCTCACGGGTGAAATATGCGAACGGAGGTAAAGAGAGACAAATAGGGAAAATTAGAGAGAAGGAGAGAAGAAGCATAGAATACGAGCAAGAGTGCGAGCCATGATATATCCGAGATGATGAGGTAATACGGTTGCACAGCAAACACCAAGGGGTCTCTGATTCAATTTTAACGGAATAATAATAATGATGTTCGTTGTTGGCATTCTAGATAACGTCTGTTATTCGAAGTGTCAGTACACAAAAGTAAACAATGCGTGTATTGAAAACCGAATGAACGGGGAGATGGGTGTGAGAGAAGTGAATGAGCTTTGTGGATGGCATTAAGTATATGCGCTGATGTACGCGCGTTGATACAGATCTCACAATGAAAATGCGATAACAATTGAAATCGGCATGGGAGAGCTTTCAACACTTGTTGTTTTCGTTGCGTTGAAAAGTGCCAGAAAACTTTTTATCCCTCCTCCCCTCCCTCTTTCCTGCTTCCACTAAATCCTTCATTCTTTTTCCAGTCTCCCGCTCCCTTTCTCTTTCACTCTCTCTCTCCCACTCGGTTTAATGTGCGCCCACAAAAAACGAGAGAGATGAATAGCCGTACATTTTTTTCTATATTCACTTTTCCTTTTTCGACCTCTCGGCTGTGTGCTCCGAGTCAGTGGTGTGCGGTCGGTGGAACGGCGCGAATCACATACTGAATAGGCAAATATTTTGGCGTTGAAGTGGATGAAGCGACGGCAACACGACAACAGCCAGTGCAAATAAAAGAATAAAAAAAAATAAATGTAAAGAGACGGACAAACTTTTTTTCTCGTCATTGTTATCCCAAATTGTTTAAGAAAGCACTGACATGCTGTTAGATGTAAAAGTTTTTCCCACAGAAATATCGGAAGGATTTTTTTCCTGTTTTCTTTTTCCATTGTCGTTGTCGTTCTTCTACGCCAAGGCAAACTAAACTCAAAATGGCACTGTTTTTTCCGTTTTCTTTTTTTGCTTCTTTTCAATTCGACTTCATTTCTTATCTGGTTATTTTTCATTTGTATGTGTGCTCAAAATGAAACAGAATCGCTGGCGGCAATGCGAAATGAACACACGTATAACGAATGACTGCTTCGGAAAACCACACAGTAATTCTGCGAAAAATGTACGTAGAACGGGAGTGCGAGACGACAACAGAGAGAGAGAGAGAGAGAGCGAAAAAAAGTGGTCACCGATGTCAGTCGGTCTAATTCCTAATGTTTGAATCTCTCTCGTATAATCATTTATCTTTGTTGAACATTAATCCATCTAGTAAACTCAACAGAGTAAAAAGAAATATGCCGAGCCTGTTTGAAGTAAGCCACAGAGAAGGGACAATTCGTATATGGTGATGGGGAGCAGTAGCCGAGGAGAAAAGTTGATGTTAGTGCTGTCGTTTTGAGAAGGATTTTGAATCATCGCATGTAAATTGAATCCGCATTATATTCATTATTAGTCTCGTCGCTTTAGCGAGCTGCCTGTTGTTTTCCTTTACATTTAATGTTAGTCCCTCTCAACAAGTCGAAAGGAAGTTTTGAATCAACACCCGTATCACATAATAGGCGCAACCAAATAGCAAAAATGTGCTTGAATTTTCCGAGTTTTCCGCACAACCACAATGCACACAAACACACATCGAACAGCAGCAGCAGCAGCAGCAGCAGCATTAGCAGCAGCACCACAAGCGGAAAACCATTTGCAAAATTTTCAAATGTAATTTCGTGTGTACGTTTGGAGATTCGGTTTAAAAATAGATGGATTTGAATTACTTCACATATGATACACAATCCATTAAAGTTGGCCAATTCAAATGAACTGAGAGTTTACATGCATGTGAAATCTGTTGAAAAATCCACAGTGATGACGGTTGTTGGTTTCTTTTTCGCTTACATTTCATTCATTATGCACACAAATCTATATAATAATTCCTTTCAATGATTACTTTCTGTTACATTTTTCTGCCTGTGTCTTCCTTCTCCGCTATTGTGAATCCGATGTGCCGACCGAATTTCAACGATTTTTAATTGTTGTTTTTATTCGTTTCGGCAATTTTATTACGATTCAATGTGGTGTGTGTATTTTGAGCGCGATATATATTTGAACTCTGTCGCTCTTTCGCCTCTCTCTGTGTGTTTATTATTATTTGTTTTCGTGTTTCAGCATTCACGTTGTTGGTTTCAATTCAGTTGGGTATGTAATTGATATTTTAATAAATCTCAGAGACAGCACGGGAAAATTACGCGGTTCGATGTTCTCCTACTCTGTTTGTACATTGGGTGTTGTGTATGGCTTGAATATGCAAATCACTCGGAGTATATTACTTGTGCGCGTAATTCAATAAATCTGTTGAAGTTAATGGAGGGTCTCTATAAATGTACCAAGAGGAAGCTGCTGCTGCTGCTACAGGGAAAAAAAATCGTCTGAGTCGAGACATTTATGCGGATGTATGCGATAATGTACAAATGCATGGTGACAGCCAACGAGCAGAGGAAAAAAAAGAATCGCAGAGAAGAAAATAAATAGTAGTAGCAGCACCAATAGCAAAGAATGACAACGGGAAAAATGAGCTCTCGATACTCTTGAGCTGAACAATTTGCGTGATGACGACGAAATGTATACCACTTCACATCATCTCGGGATATTATTTTATTTTATGGCAAGAATTATTATGCATACATGCATGGAAATTTGCATGACGAAAGCATGGTGAATACACACAGACGGTGTAAACCGAGATAGAGCGAGAGAGAGCGAGAGAGAGAGAGAAAGCGAGCCCGCGAATCGAGATATACGTGGGCGATGTGAAAAATAAACGCTCGTGCCAACGGTACGAATAATATTAGGTCAGATAGATTTTTCTGCTCTTCCTTTCGGAATAATACTATGTATATCTGTGTGTGTAACGGTGGTTGGTTGCTTTGCCATCACACGATTTCTCTATTCGATTAACATCGAGTACACGATGTCGAGGTTTTGTCTCGAATTGTTGTTGCCATAACCATTCGTAATCCGAGAACTGTGCAACAGAACACAGTGCATATCATGCATACGAACGTGCCTGTACGGTCTCTCTTTCGCTCTATCGCATTCGCTCATCCTACATTCTCGTTCTATCTCGCTCGTTATTCCTGTTGCACGTCGATCGACGGAATGCACAGTGCACACTGTGTGCACACACACCTAGGCACTCGTTCTGCCTCTCAGCCACCCTCGTACATCAGCGTAGGCCCATTTTGCTCGCTGCTCTCGCGTATGTTACATTCTTCATTTGCGCGCGTTATTTATATGTCGAAAATAGTACTTCGAACAGCCTTGCTCTCTGGCTCAAGCTCCCACTTTGTACTCATTTTCATGTACCGTTTCAAAAGAAAAACACAGTTCCCATCTAATGTTTAGTTTTTGCATCACACATGCAAATTGCGACACCCGAAAATTACTCTCTCTCTCTCTCTCTCTCTCTCTCTCACTATCTTTCCATTCCGTTCACTAAACTAACCCACGGTATAGTGTGTTAGCTGTGTTACCAAAAATTTTAATTAGGTTTCTCGCATATTTTTCACGCAGTCACACACTGGAACAGAGCATATACACAGGTATATCAACGGGGAGCGTAATTTGCTAAATAAGCATATTCAACCACGTTTCGTACACAAATATCAATTTTCCTTGCACAAACAAAGCACACACACAAACACATTCACACACACTCGCACAATACCTTAAATGATTCAGACTCATTTAGTCCACAAAATGTGGAAATGAAAGAAGCATGAATAAATAAAACCTGAAGCTGAACGAACGAACGAAACGAAAATTCGTAACAAATAAATAACAATAATAACTCAGCATACAGTAACAATGCCTTTACATCAATAAAAACAACAACAAGCTCGATAACATGAAAATGGCATTTGTGTGTGCGATTCGCTCCGCCATCATCAACCACCAACACCACCATCATATCAGAAAATATAAATGTCGAATAAGTAGCCGAAATGAAACGGCTCTGTCGCGAGAGAGAAAAATGAAAATTGGAGAGAAACCTTTGGAAAGGAAAGCTAAAATCATACAACTTTTTTTTCTTTGCTCTGTTCGGTTTGCTTGTTATTATTCTTATTCACATTTGCCTTCGTTCATGTCAACTTAAGAGCACACGCTTTTTTATGTGCCGTTTTTATATTCGCTATATGGAATCCAGACAACGAGGAGCTGCTTTTTCTCAGCACTTTTCAACATACTAGTAGTTACTCTTGAACGAAGAGAGAAGTGATTTAGTTTTCAGCGTCAGCTAGTCCACAACGTGCTTATGTTCACCACATTTCATTGCAACAATAAATAGTTTCTCGCTCATTTCATATATGTCGACTGTGAGCGTATGAGAGAGAGTCAGAGATTTTATTTCTCGTTTTTTTCTTCTCGACTTTTTTTATGTATATTTGTTCCGGTTTTTTCCTCATATTTGTTACTGTGCTCAAAACCTCACCAATTTGAAATCCTATTCGCCTGGCTTATATTTGTTCTGCAGCTCGACTGAATGTTTTATTTGTATATTCACATTTGAAATTAAACCATGCAGAATGGAGCAACAACCGAATGAAAAAAAAAAGTGTTTTTTTGTTCAAAATGAAAATAACACAACTTATACCACTTTTACATTAATTTCCATGAGGGCTTCCAATTTTTGAGACACAAAAGCGCTCACACACTCATTTAACTTTCGCGGAAAAATTTCGACGCGCGCTTTTTGTTGAATTTTTTTTATTTGTTTGATGCACATAAATCAATTGTATTTTTTTTATCACAGCAGAAGTCTTTCTGTAAAATGATTGGAAATTGAAAACGGAAAAATAGAACAATCAAAACAAAAATTATTATCATCAACCGAAACGAAATGTTTTAATTAATCCGTTTTATTTTTGTTGGCATTCACTTTATTTAAACGAATAAAAAACAGAGCAAATGTTTTTTTAAGCAGTCATATTGTTTTTTAGTGGATGAGAAAAAAAATATATCAACTGGTTGGTTTGTCGGTCACACATACACATCGACCGTATTTCAATGACCAATTTCCAATCGAATAAATGAATTGAAAACATTCAGGTGAACAAAACACATATATATCCATAAATTATTACACTCACGAAAACTTCGATTGGAGAAATTCTTTTCATCCAACATTTACTTATTTTTTTTACAGATTAAATCCACTAAACCCAATTTTTGGTGAAATTTTTATTCTGAGATTTGAACTCAAACACAAAGAAAAAAAAATCAAATAAACGGAACAAAACGGAAAAGTAAAAGATGAAACAGAAAAAATTGACGAATTCAGAAAATTCGACAAACCGAACCGAGAACAAATAACGAATACGAAACAACGATAAAAAAAACACACGGATGATTAAAAACACAAGCGAAAAACACCAAAGGAAATTGAAAATAAAACTGAATTTCTATGCAAGCAACATATAAGCGCGTAAAAACTGATTTTTGGCGAAAATTGAAACAATTCTTCTCCGGAGGCTGGCAGCCAACTCGTGCGTCGATGGGAAAACAACGATTGAAAAGACCATCGAAAGCACTGGTTTCTCTCGTGTGCTCAATCTCGTTGTCGACGACTCTCGTCGGTATCGGATTTGGTCTTGTTGTTGTTGCCCGCTTGCTGCTGCTGCTACTTCTGCTGCTCGCTTCGTGTGTCCGTTTATTTCATTTCGTTCTATTTTGCATGACATGTGCTGCTATACATCGCGTACCCCTTTGCGCGCGACAGAGACGGCAACATTCGAAAGTGTATTAATGCGATTTTGTTGTGTGATGTTATCGCAGCGCATGAGCTGGCCTCTCCATGTGTCTGCCACAAGCTTACGGATGTCAGCAGCAGCGACAGCAACAGCAACAGCAAAAGCTAGTGAATTTCATTCGAAGCACATTTTCCACGGTGCAACCGAAGCGGCACCAGTGTAAGCGCAGGGCATGCCGTTGCTGCCGTTGCTGTTGCTCCTCGCGTGCGGTTCGTCATTCCGTGAACATTTGTAATGTTTTCGTGAATATTAAATTGAATTCGCCTACGATACGAAGGCTGTGAATAAAACACAAACTGAGAAAGTGCTGCGAAAGAGCTTAGACAGCCCCAGTATCCGGCCTGAAAAATGTATGAATCTGCGTGTGACCGTGGCAGAGTACGTATTTGCTCTCCTTCGAACATTTGATGCTTACATTTACAGTATGTGCGCTTTGGTGTGTATTTTCGAGAACAATGAGCTCTTTCATTATTTTCATTCTTTCTACTGTTGTTGTTGCTATTGTGTTCGGCTCAGTTCGTACATAATAGTATAGCGTATGTGCGTTTATATGTGTCTACAGGAGCTCTCCAAAAATCACATTCAAACATCATACATAATAATAATGAAATTATATCTATGTATGTTTATACTTGAAATAAAGGTGATGATTTCTCGCTATTCTCTCTGTGCATAACTAAGAACTAAGCGCCCGAACCACCGCTACTCATTCGCTCTGTGTGTTGCTATTACTTTTCATACTGTTGCTTCTATTGTTCAATATTCTTCATGCCGTCATGTGTATGGCCTCGTAAGCGTGCACAATACACCGTCGATGTGCTTTCGGGCGACCAACTTACATATCCGTTACAATCTCTTTACCATCATCGAATACCGTCGGATGATGGGAAGTCAGCGACGGCAAAACACTTGTTTGGCAATTTAATTGTACGTCAACGTGTTACTCTTCTCGACAATTGCTTTGCCTCTCTTTCTTTTGTAGCGTCCATCCCTTTCGTTGATCTCATGTTTACCATTCCGAGGCGAGTGTTGTGTGAGTGTGTGTTTGTGTGCGCATGTATTGTGAATGCATATTGTTTTCTTTCCTTTCTGCGCTTTGTTTTCATGCCTTTGCCATTGTTCGATGTTGCTCTTATCATCTGTGTGACTTTTGAGGGCTACCCGAGCAGAAGAAAGCACAGGAACGTTGTCGTCGGGAACGTGTGCTTATTATGCCATACATACATACAGAGACACAAAAATATAACCCACGTTTATCCCATTCAGCAAAAGAAGAAAAACCAAGAGAAAAACTATACCAACGATTGCTGGAGCAAGGCGAAAAGCATGCAGACGCACCAAAAATACCTTTTCACTTTGTTTTTGCATAATGATACCATTTCCCAAACACGAAAAATCCAATTTTTCGACTGGATTTTAAAGCCACAGGCCATAGTGTGACTACCTGAGAGCTCTGGAATAGTCAAAAGTTTTTCCGTTGAGATAAAACGATGTAACAAGTTGCCAATTTTAAAACGATTTCTCTTGTGTGCTTTCTGTTTATAATGTGGTTTGCAATGAATATAATGTAGCAGCCACCCCTGGCTATTATTCATAGATTTTGTTGATTTTTGCGTGACCTACAGCGTGTGAGCGGTGTGCGGAAGAGAGGGAGACGCAACAATATAGACGGAAAACGTGCGAGGAAAAAGTCAACCGAAAATGTGTGCACACACGTTTCGCACCAAATGATCTATTTTCATAACGAATTTCAAATGAATATATATTGTAGCAGCCCTCCAACCACCGATGCTGTTGCTCAGGAGCAAATATTCCCGAAGTGTGATGTCCCTTTTTTCACATTGTTTGTCTTTTGTATCGATTTGTGTTTGAAAATTGCAAACATTTTTTTCCGTTTTTGTTTCAGTCGTATACAATAGAGCTGGGTCGATTGTTATTTGATTTATTCAAAAATTGGGCATCGTAATTGGGGATTTTATTCTATTTACGCTTGTCTCGTTGTCCTTCGATTTTAGAACACCATTGTGTGATTCAAGTACTCCGGTAAAGGAACACTGAATTGTGTGATTCACACATTTTCGGTCGGCATGGTTATGACCTTTTTGCCTCGGTGATTTATTGTCCCTCGTTTTTTTTATTAGCTCTCCGAGTAGACCACACTATTAATATTCTCGTTGCACACCAACATCCAGTTACAGCCTAATGCAAAATGGTAAAGCAAAAAACAAGAGACACACACACACAATAGAAAAAGTGAATATTGTTGTTACCAACGAAATGGGAGGGATTCATTTTGATTCCGATTGAAGTGAGTTTGTTGGCCATTTCTCTAACGGCCATTTGTTAATTTGTTTATTTGCAGACAGATTTATAAATTGATCCGCCAATTTTCGAAGCAATTTATACTATTGTTAGCTATGAGAGTGCGTCTGTATGGGTGGGTACAGGGTATGCATGGTAAATTTTCTACAGGTCCTTTTCTCTATCAACTCCAATAAATCATGCGGAAAACGGAATTGTCGAAAGTGAAGTGGTTTCGGTGTGTTAATTGCTGTTTTTGCACAAATCGTTTATTGAGTTGCTACAGTAATCCAACGCCGTCGCCGCCGACGACGATGACGGAGGCGACAACGGAGAGCAACGATGAAAGATGGAGCCGTAGCAGTGAACGTGACTGGGAGCTAAATAACAAAAGTAACCATTTTGTAGATTGCAATCGATTAGCATCGCAATGCTAAGACAACAACACTAAGTTTCGAATTAAGATTTTCGCTTTCGACAAAGTGTGCGTGCCTGCGAACGTGCGTGGTTTGGGTTGATGTGTGTGCTTCGAGGCACGAAAAAGTATCGAATGAAAGCCCGTTAGTCTATAAGGTTCGAGCAATTTGAGATGAATTATCCTTTTATAATGATTATACTTTGTTATTTTGTGTGTGAGTATGTGTGCACTGCGCAGTGTATTTTAATTAAAAAAACGAGAGCGAATAAAACTGCTTCGTCGATGAAGTTGAAGTGTTTCACACGAAAAGTGCGAAAATGCCTGCAAAACATTCATTCATTTAATAAAATTCCTTTTTGCCAACTCATTGAAATAATTTCCAAATAATTTTTATGACTAACATACAGTCGCACGCGATGGCGGTATAGCTGCAGGATTGGAACACAAAAACCCAAATAAATAAGTTAAAATCTGAAGAAATTACGATAAATGGCCGCAATGCACACGAATGCCACGCCACGGGCACACGATCTCGCACTCAACCGAGTGTTAGGAAAACCGAGAGGGGCTCTGGGTAAAAAACGATTGAACGGAACCGAATCACCGAGTGAGAGCGAGGGAGCGAGATAGAGAAAGACAAAGACCGAGAGCGGGAGCATAAGAGAGTGAAAAAGAAAAAGCAATTAAAATTTTGATATCACACAGATGCGACGCGCGGAATTGATGCTCTCGTCCCCGCAAGTCGGCCGATTTAGTAGGTCGGACTGGGTATGTATCGGTGAGCATTAAGATGCAACCATTCAACTCGATGTAAACGGCACGGATAAATCTGTGTGCCCAACAGCTGCTCAGGATAATTTCGCGTTTCGTTTTTCCTTGAATAAACGACCGATAAAATATATGTGACCGAGAGGAAGAGAGAGAGAGAGAGCAAAAACGAATGAACATACGCTGATGTTTTGTGTATTGAAGTATTTTAATATCACTTTCGGTATGGCGTTTCCATTTCACGCAGTGCTGCTCGCATGAGTCATAATAATATGTACTAGCATAAAGATTCAACGATTGATAACACCAAAAAAGAAAACTTATGTGCACTTGAAATGCCGTTCCAAGTATCTACAGCATTCACTTCAAACTCACTTATCCACTCACTCGCTCGCTCACTCGCTCGCTCACGCGCTCACTCATTCACCCTCTGTCTCTTTCACACATTCGCTACGGCTTCTCGGTACTTTAGACGCGCTTCAACCCACATATCCTCGACATGTTTTCGGTCATTAATTAGTAAGCGTATAGTATTTTATACGAAAGACTTGTCTTTTTCTTCTCCGTTCATCTCAGGTGGAATTGGTAACTTGAGTATCAAGTGTAACAAGTTCATATTACCTCTCTGCATATCCGAGAATGTACCTTAACCTGCCTTTCTCGCTCTCTGTGTGTATATGTATATGTATATGTGTGTTTTGCTCAGAAAATTGGAAAATGGCAACATTTCTTGCAACGCTTCTTCCTCTAAATGTTCTATTTATCCTTGTTTCGGTCGACGTTCTTCTGTCCTCACTTGTTTTATCTGTTCATATTTTTTGTTGCTCTTTTTTGCAAATATGTTTTGCGATTCGCTCTCATTCACACGAGTTCACTGTTATTTACTAATTGTGGCAATAAATGCAGGCGTATGCTAGGTTACATGATACTTCCCTCGAGATTAAGCTGCATGAAGTTACAAGATACGCACCTCTTATGTATACTTACCGTTTATTTCACTTTGCTTCTTTTTTTTCTGTGTAAAAAAGGACACACAACATACGAGCCATATCGAGTGGAGAGGAAAAAAAGTGCGCTTATGTGCTACCATGCATATAAATGTCTTTTATACACTGATAAGCGGCTTTAGGCGAGCCAATTCTCTGAGCACATGGTTTTCTTTATGCTTTTATACAACTTCTTTCCGCACGCTCATTCTCACTCTCTTGGCTCTTGCACTGGCTCTCTCTCTCTTTTCTGCCCGTGAGTTACATGCGATCAGCTTGTTGATTGTATCAACAAAATCAAAGGAAAACATGTTCTATTCATCCAAATCCATCATGTTTCGTACTAGTACACAACCGAAAAATCCCGAAGCACCACAGCGAATAGCAATCCGCAAGTGAAAAGTCAAACAATGCCGATACATTATAGATTCGATGTATGTGTATGGAACGCATGGCATAGTGTTGGTATGATAGGGGAATGAGACTTTGTAACGCTTTTTGTAGGAGAATGTTAGACACATGCGCACAAGTAGAGAGCATCTCAAGCGTATTTGGATTTTGTTTCATTTTATGTTTTTATTTCTATAATTTTTGTTTGGATTGATTTTTTTTTCATTCAAAAATTGAAATTACACCGGGTTTGACTGAGTTGTTGCATTGAATGTTATGTTATTCGATTAGATCTCATGATTAGTTCCAATGATGTTGTTGTTGTTGTTGCTGTTGTTGCAACGCGAATTATCAATATGATCGAAATGTCCGCACAATTGGTTTTTTTTTTCAAATTAAAATAAAGTTCTCTTTTTACTGAGTTACAGTTACATTCGAACGTGAAACAAATTGATTTATTGTACAGCTTTGACGATGGTTTCGGCAATTTCAACAGCTAATGTGGCTTCAGCGCGGGCTTTATCGTCTTTGGCCGATGACAATTCCGATTGAGCGGCTGACAAGGCTTCTTGAGCGGAACGGGCATCGAGATCTTCAAGTGAATGGGCTTCTTCAGCCAACACTTGTACACTGGAATCAACATTGACGGTGATTGTTCCACTGGAAACGAACACTTTCTTTTGTGCACCATCATTTTCGTACACAGTAACGACGCCAGGTTTCAAGACAGCTGCGAAATGAATGTATTTTGAATTAATGACAATTGAATTGAGGAAAATCGAATTCGAAATTGAAACTTCTAAGCTCATTCTGATCGTTCGAGAATTATATCGACTTACCGAGTGTTGGAACGTGTGTGGCCAAGATACCGAAATCGCCGCTGAATGATGGCACATCGACTTGTCGAACTTCAGCTGCATCGTAGAACACTTTGTTGGCACCAGCCAATGTCAGCTTCAAAGCGGCTGCTTCAGCATAATTACGGGCTTGCATCAATTGAGCACCTTGACGGGCCAATACACGGGAATTTCTCAAGAAAATCGACATTTTTCAGCTGTGTTTTTCTGTTCCTGCTGATAGCAAATTATTATATAACCAAGAAAATGTGGGGTTAAGAAGCGTCACATAGCAAAAATTCCGCAGAAATTTGGAAATTTAACATGATCGTGCGGTTAAATACACTTGATGCTGTTGAATCTTGACACCTAAACACTTAAATGCGATTTTTTTCAATGTCAATTTCAAATTGTTTGATTGAAAATACTTACAGTGGAATCTTTTGCAGTACAAATATTGCCGAAGAGTGTTCTACTGAGAGAAAAAAAAAATCGGTGACAGCCACCACGAAAAATGTGATGTCAATTTAGTTGGTCCGAGCTGCCACCGTGTGTTAGTGTGTTACATGGCGTTGCGAGCGGTTGCGAGCGGCTAATCGTCACAAAGAAATGTCATTTGATTCGATTCCATTACATTCAATCGTTTCAATTCCTAATTTGACCACTGCATATCAGACTGGCGCTGTAAAATGCAGCAAATAAACATGACAATGAAGTGTCACGTTTTATCTATTACCGCTCAAAAATCACGTCTCAATTTTTGTTTACCTCAAGTGTAGTGAATTCGCATCGAACTTGAATTCAAAACAAGCGCAACGAATTTCATTTTTTCCCTTTGAATCCCTTCATATCCGAATTTTCCAAAAGTTAACACAATGGCTGAGAAAGATATAAATCCAACGGCATTACTAAGCACTGATTTGGAACAATTTCGACTGGCTGATGTGGCCTATGACGATTTTAACAGGTGATTTGCTCGATTCGATTGTCTAGATACATTTTATGTGACAAAAACTGAATTTTGTTCAACAATTTTAGTGAAAACTATGAGTCATGCCTGGAGAATTTATCGAAAATCAAGCCAACAAAGGAAACTGAGAAGAAAATTTTACACAATAAAGCAGTCGTGGAATTCTATAAAAGTGGTTTGAAAAATTACAATGAATTCCGTAAATGTCTCGATGACATCATTGGAGAAATGCCGAATTTGAGCATTCAAGCGTTTGATATCAAAGATTTGTCGCTTGCGATTCCGTTGTTCAACAAGGCAGTCGTGCTATTTCAGCTTCGGCAATCGTTGGCGGCACTGAAAATCGTTCTCGTTCTGCTGAAACATTTGGACGCATTTGATACGGAAGTCGCACAGAAAATTGGCCTACTTGCAATCCAGTTGGTGTTGAATTTGAACCAACCGAAGAAAGCCGAAGCTATTATCACGTTATTAAAGTTACGATTGAGTTCTGGGTCAGATTTGCTGTGTGGCAGCGATGAAGATGATGATCCAAATTTGTTACAAGATAAAAACATCGAGCTCACCAAAGCACACAAGCCCTTAGACCAATTTCGATGGATGTTTCGATTGTATAAAATGCGATCGAAAGTGTTGAACGAAAAAAGTGTTCTCATACCCAACGAAGAGGTGAGTTTGAAATGCCATATGGAAAATTGATTAAATTGATCATTGGTTTTTTGTTCTGTGTAGATACCCGAAACGCTGGTACTGAAGGCACATCAATACTATATTGGACACGATTATCAAATGGCAGCCAAGGAACTTGCGAAGAAACCAATCACAGCGCTGTCAGATTTTCTGTAAGTGCCTCTAATTGGATTGAATTTTTCTGAATTCCGTTCTTCTTCTTCGATATTTTTTCTTCAACGAAATAATTTTCACATTTGTTAACAAAACTGGGGCATTAACAATGCGAACACTACACATGTGCTCATAAGATACACATTCATTCTTAGTATATCGAATGAAAGTACCATTTTTTTCAATTTTACAGGACAAATGGCGAAGATTACAACACAATCGTGGCCAACAATATGGGTTTAATTCATTTTCACGTTCGGCACTACGCAATGGCTGTTCGATTCTTTCAACATGCTCTCCAGTTCGACCAAAAGGCCACCGAGAGTCTAGGTTTAGAGGCGCCGGTTCATGCGATCGGTGCATCGAAGCAACCGGAAATTTTGTACAATTTAGGAATTGCCATGTTGCACTTGCAGCGGCCTAAAGAAGCATTTGAGTGTTTCATGGTACCATTAAACTATTACCACAACAATCCAAAGCTATGGCTTCGATTGGCTGAAGCCTGCATTATGGTTCATAAAGAGGTATGCCATTGAAATGGTATCAATTTCAATAATTCAGTTAATATTTGCTAAACATGACTGATTGACATAAAAATCGTGATTATTCTCAGAATTTAAAATCCAAGGAACGAAAGACCGTGGTTTCGTCAGTTATTGGTTCAGGAATACATAGAAAATATATCATCAAGCCAACGCCACCGAAACACGTATCGTAAGTATACTATAATTGAAAATTGAAATCAAATTAAAGCCAAGTTACTCCATTCGAATCTTAGCAATTCGAAAATATCAAAGAAAATCTCATTAATGTTTCTTAACTGTAAATGTCATTTTACAGTGATCCCAATGAATCGTTTGCAATTCCAAACACAAATTTGGAGTTTGCATCGTTGTGTCTACGCAATGCGTTGGCTTTAGTGGAGCATATCGAAAATGATTTCAAATCGGCTGCAGGAAATCCAGATTCAACATCGAAAATACAACAGAACAACGAACGTACTCAGTGTAATCCATCGAAAGCATTAACGCATAGTGCATTTTTGAAGTTGAAATATGCCGTGTTGGCCGCTTATAGTTACGTACAAATCAGTTTGGGTGAATATCTTTTGGCACTGAAACATGCACAGGAATTGCTGAAAGTGCCAAACCTACCGGATCCATATGCGTAAGTGACTTCATTCATTCAAATTTCGATCATAAACAACCGAAAAAACGTTTCGAACTATTTGAAAATTGTGACTCTCCAACAACTTGTTTTTCTTCATTTTCCTACAGTATTCTCGGTCACTTGTACTGTGCAGAATCGCTAATAATGTTGGACCGATGCCATGATGCGCGTGCATATTTGGAGCCAAAATTCATAGGTGATCTCAAAGAAGATGACTTCATTCAATGGGCCGCACCAGATTGGAATATCAGCTCCCGCAGTGCGGCTCAAGCAGTTCTAGAGTACAATTTATGCGTACTGCTCGTGCTGCAAGGTGAAAATGAACTGGCTAAAGCCTTACTCAGCCGATGCAAACATCCGATTGTTATAAATCACTTGAAAATGTTGAAAATCTATCTAGAAATGCAAACTGGTAACTTGGAATTGTGTCGAAAGATGATAAGCATTGACACACCGCAATATTTTTAAGTTTAATTTTCGAGAGAAATAAAACCACGCTGTTGTTAACAAAATAAATAAACGAAAAACGTGTACAAATGACTTACTTTCATTGAATCGTTAAGTTAATTGAGGCATGAGAATTGAAATCAGCTGTAGGCTTTCAAACAGTAGCCAACTGTGAATAATTCTATTTCCCGCTATGGTTGACTGAGATGAACTCAGTGTTTGGAAAAACCTTCGTAGCCCTTCTCTCCGTACTACGCTTCAATCAGCTATGTATAATGTGTTTGTGTGCAATTTCAAACTGAAGAAAAAGACCTTGACTCGTATTGTCTACGCAATAATCGATCATACCACCGCGAAAAATTCTGATCGCAAACAAACTGGTGTGTTTGTCTAAATAATGGGGAAATGGAAATCGCGATTGGAATCACGTAAAATTCGGCAATTTTGATTAAAATAATGAACAAAATTCCATTTTATTATTTGAATTGAAATTTTTTTTTGACAAACTAAATGGCATTCATTAGCCCGTTGTTGAATTCAATGTCTGTTGCACATGAAGATGCTTTGACGCCATGCTTCGATTGTTGACCCGTAATTATAGCAATAAACGCCGCTTAAAAATTATGTAAAACGTAATTAAGTGCATCGTCATCGCTTGAGATAATCTCTTTTGGAATTGAATCGGTTGTCCATTCTTAACACAAAACGTAACATTTAGAGGCCTCACAGTATTGATAATTAATGGACAATTTCCTCGGTGGGTTATTTTTCACACTGAAACTTTGGAATTCGATCACCATTAGTTTGGTTTGAAAGTTCAATGTCTTTTGTATACAAAACGCAGCACATCTGTTCTATGATGTTCCATTGATGTTTGTCAATTTGCAGTGGCATGTCAATGGTTTCGACAATTGATTCTGCCGATGGTAAAAATTCCAATTATCAATCACAATAGCGAGGAAAAGTGCGATGAGTTTTGTTTTCGTTTAACTTTTGAGCGTTTTTCAAATGGAGGAAATGCTCTTTAGCTATTGTTGTTTTTTTTGGATGCATTCGAGTGCGAATAAAATGAGACATTGAATACATCAACACTGCTTGGCTCAAAAGTGCAACCAGCAGAAATGTGTTGGCAGACGAGAGACGTGTAAGACAATTGGATGGTATGTTTTTCTGTGGATCGCATGAGTTACGGTGAATTAACGAAAATACCAAACGGAATAACGTAATTAAATGAATACAATTGTGGATTGTGTTTTAATGCAACAACTTTCCATCTCGCGCCCTTCTTCTTCTTCGGTGTATCATTTCAGTCTGCTATATCTACTTTTTGATGCATCAAATCTCACGACCATGTCATTTTTTTTCCTCAAGTGTAAATAAAATCGATGTGAATCTCCGTGGTGCCCCTCACTCGAGATTCCATACAAACATAAACCGATTTAATAATAGTCTTGAAAATCAAACAAAATTTTTAATAGTATTAATTGATGCTCAACATACACAAATTTTATTGTGAAAAATATGATATAAGACACATGGAGAAGCTGCAGAAAAAAATAACTTCATTTTAATGATTGATATAATGATGACTGTTATATGAACAAGCAAATAGGATCTATTCTCAATTCAGCACATGGTGCGGATGAGACTTGTTATGGCATCATACCGGATTTTTGTATGGTGTTGAGATACGTTTGAGTTCCATGATGTTAAGACTTGTTTGTGTAATAAGTTCTTGGGCTGTTCTCACACGTATTTGAAAATGGCACGAAAACTCATAAATTTAATTAAGCGCTTGGCATATGATTGGCATAAAGAAGTCAAAATCAAAAGTGTGTGGTACCTTGAACGAGTGGCTGCTCCGACAAACAATATTTACGTTTATAATTTGATTTTAATTTATCAATTAAATGGAATCGAAATAAAATCTAACAAAATGAATGATCTCATCATCGAATTGCACCATCTCTGTTGCGACTGCGCTGGCCACATGCGATTCTTTTTCGTTCATTTTTTTTACAGTAATTTTCAGTCTTTTTTGGATTCGCCTGCGAATCATGTGATGTTCGCTATCCATATTGGATATTGTTGACATTTATCTCGGCATGTGAAAGGGCCGAAATTGATTACAATACGCGCGCGTTGCTCGGATCTTCTACCGTAATATAATAAATGGATTCGGAACGACATCCAAGTGAAATGGAAAACTGTTATCTCACCGAACATGCCATTTCAACAACAACAACGCAGTCACTCGGTGTATCGCCGAGCACACATGTGGTGTTGTGTGGTGATGCTGACATATTCGTGATGCATTCGTTGTTCAACCTTCAAAAAATTGCGACTTTTTCGTTATAGTCGCTGACCGATTTTCGGCGAAATGAGAATGCAATTAAAATACAAACATTACCGCAAAACAGAACCAGTAAAATCCATTATATTCTATTGAGCAACGAAAAACCGTGCTAAAACATACTGCCGATAATTACATCGCAGCTTTTGAATTGCTTCATTCAGGAACTAAATCACTTCTTGCGCAGGAAAAAATGCATTTTAACCGCCCACATGATCAGTTGCTTAGTTTTTTGTTTGTTATGAAGAAAACAATTGAAGAGATAGAGAGGCGGAGGGAGAGAGAAAAGCGATTCTATACCAAAATCCAGCGAAGCAGAAACTGTGTTAGAAACAAAGAAACCAAAGCAAAACACACAAACACACACAGCATACATATTGAGCAGTCAATTTGTCTCGCACCCGATTGCTGCACAACCGAAACTAGTAACCAGCAACATATATGCGTTATGCAATCGCTTAAAAACATGAATACTAAATCAGAATATGTGCGCAGAGACGTTTATTGCGAACACGGCTATTCTTGCAATGGAAAATGACGAGCAAAGCAAACATCTTGATTAAAATACCTGTGTATGTGTCAAAATTGAATGTGACGATCCACTTTGAGAGCTCTGCACGTACACACTCTCTGCAGACGGACGACCGCACAGCAACGTCGATTTGTAATTTAATAGGTTTTGTTGATCGTTTCGTGCGTTTATTATTATCTGCTTGTTTTGTTGCTCATTTTTATTGCCATGTTGCTTGGCACTGTTTCTGACGCCAGTGCGTAAAAGATATTCATTACACTCGCTACTGCTGTTGCTGCCATTGACGCCACCAGAGAAATGACCTTCTTCATTGTGATTTTGTATCAACGCGCATTTTCCATCACCATTATAGCCCATTGTACGATATGATGGTTTGTTTATAGTGTGTTCGAATCAATTGCAATGTTTTGATTTCATTGTTGTCGCTTTTGTTCGCATTAATCTTTGTTTGACACGCATCTTACGGGAAAAAAAGAATTGGCCAAAACTTCACACGCTGTTACGATTTTTGGGCCAATATTTTTCTCTAAATTTGGATTGAATGGTATTTGATCACAAAAGTTGGACATGAAAATCACTAAATAAATCAATTAAATTGCCGTTATGTTATTGGACCGGCAATTTTTGGTGACACTGACCTTAGGCTTTTGTTATGGAATCGAGAGACTTTTAATGCAGAAGCTTTGAACGAGTTCGATTGTTCTCTGAATTTAGCGGGAGGTAATGCGACAATGACCACTTGGCGACAGTGGCTTGAATGAGGAAACTATAAGGATGTTATTGATCACGCAATCCAAGCGGTGTTTCTTGTATCATTAGATCATTGCTACTTATGGTTTCGATTTTTTTTCCATATTCCTTCATTTTCAACTTTTTTTTTCGTTTTACTTTTATTTCTTCGATGTTTCCTTCAATTTTGTGTTTTATTTTCAACGCCAAAAAAATGTCGATCGATCCACTTTTTAATGGGCCATAAAATTGGTGGGCTATTTTTAATCTTGGGGGAGGACATTTGTAAAAGGAAAGCTGCTTTGCAATGTACGGTGCGCAAATCGATTTATTTTACAATTACAATTTATGAAATGTGTCTGTCTTCATTGGGGGGAGTTCTTCACATAACCAGTTCGTTTTTGCATTCGAAGAAAATTTATTGTTTGTTATTAAAGAACGACTGTTCAAATCTAGTTTTTGTTGCGTGAAGAAAAAAAAACTGCGAAGATTTGCAATTGCGATTATTGCAACAGAAGATGCAAGAGGTGGTCAACTTTGTTACCTAGAATACCTCGAATCCATTTCGACCACCAATAATAATCGTTATTTATCATTATTTTACGTTTTCAGTTTGTTTGCACGCAACAAGACATTTGATCGTTTTTTAGCATGTTGTTGTTTGGTGGGCTCGTTTGCTCTCAGCTGCTCACTTCTCTTTGGCTGTCCATGTGTTGTAATGAATTTGGCGGTGTTGTTTTTTTTTGTTGCACCGAACTCATTTCAAAATTCGTCGACGTTAACCTGTTGAAATCGATAAATGGCCTGTTCGTGTTACAATTACGTGTCGTTTTTGGAATAGATAGTTCAGGAAAAAAGCACCAACTAGAATGGGTCGGGCCGAGAAGGCGTCAAAGTGTTAAGCGATGACTGCAACGGAAAAAATATTGAATTGGATTGTTCGTCAATTGGAGGCACGGTGTGAGTGGGCTTGTTGCAATCGGCTTATTTCAACACATGTATATCTGTTGTGAGCGCGTTCGTCCACAATGAACAGTAAAGACCAACAAACAAACATATCAGATAAAACATGAGAATCACTTAGCCGTTACCACGTGATACGTTTTTTGCCGGCGGCACTGCTATTATTTCATCGCAATCTCACGTAATCTGTTGTATGCATTTCAGCGCGGTCTCTCACTTTGCAGCGGCATGTGACGGCTGCTGCTGCTGCTGCTGCATCTCAGATTACGGAATTACACAGAACCGAACAAATTCACGTAACATCAACGTATGCAAATTCTGGTTTTACCTTGATCACACACGAAGAAGAATCTTGAGTAATTGAAATGTATCGCAAAATTGCGCAGATAAGTTAAAGACCTAAGAATGAAGATGTTGTTCTTGGGTAATGTTTTTTTTGTCTTCGCTTCAACAATAATAACAATTCGACAAAATGCTTTCCTCGTTAACCATCGTGGGATTCCTTGGTAGATGGCATTGAATATACGCGTTATTACCAATAATTTCATATTTTTTTGCTGGCGTATTTTTAATGATTTTTGATGATTTCCGTTCGTTCAATGACCACTGCAGCCTAATGTACTTTCGAAATTCAACGAGTTGACACTTTCAAAGACTCACGTGATTAATTACAAGCAACCAAATCAAGATCAAATCATTTGATTTGAGTAGCTTGATGGGTTTTTCATGAAAATCTATAAATCTTCAAATACGACAAGAATACAGAAAAACCGCAAAAAAGACGTGAACAGTGCCACTGGTAACAATTAATCGAGTGATCGACATTGAAGTAACGACAACAAAGGAAACAGCATGGGCATTAAGATGAGTTTACAGCGTAGTTGAGCGAAGAAGCAGCAGGGGAAAACTTCTTTCTACTTCATTTTACGGGAAATGTTTTTTCCCTACCGATGCTTTTCCTTCTAATTAATTAGCTAAACGTTTGAAAAACCAAAACGATTCGTTACGCTTTGTTGGTTTGCTCCGTTTTCTTCTTCTTTATTTTCGGCCGTACCATTGTTAAGAATCTTTGTTTACGATATGTGCGAGTCGCGTACTTGTTACTCGCTCAAGTCAAGGAACATTCTGTTGAATTTTAATTAATGTGTTGTCATAATTCATTGACATTTGGACGCTGAGGCACTCGAAATGGTTCTGAGCTTCTTCAGATGGATGAACGATAGCGACTGTTTGCGTAGTTCGGTTTATGCGGGCAACATTTTGCGTATTTTGGTCACACAATTTTTCGGCGAATGGAAATAAGACGTTATCTTTTATTGCGCTTACACGGTGTACCTCTATTCCGAAGCAAATGAATGAAGCAAGTGTCGAAAAAAACCAAATATTTGAGCCTTTCATTGGTTTTTATCATGCGACGACCGCATACAATTTGATAGCATCGAACCAACTGACTAACCTGGTCACGATAACATCAATTTTAACAGCCATAATTTTCATTTTTCGTAAGCTCCGACTGTACAGCCGCACAAATAGGTTTTCTCCGCAACATTGAACCGATTGTATCACATTGTTTGAGCTTTGAAAGTCAAGTAGAATGAATGTACAAAACGATTAAGAGAGCGGTCTCTTTCAAGCATCAATTGAAAAATTATCCGTTGGGCTTTAATTAACTAGAATAGCTCAAGCTGAATTGCATCACTTATAATGTTCTGGTAAATGTTGTAACATTTCACCAGCAGCTGCTCGACCACAAAAAAATCACTCACCGCCGACAAACCCATGCAAATAGACGTGCAAAAATCCACCGTTCAATCACTCGTCAAATAAACAAAACTACTCAGACAATTAATACGTCCGATCACACACTCGAAATAAATCAAATAATCATTGTTTTATTGACATAATGAACTAACACCGCCACCTCAGACCCGAAAATCACCATTATACTTGTAATGGAATTGAGTAAAAAACAGACTGGCTCGCGTCAATTGTAATATGGTAAAAATGACCTAGCATGTAAAAGTGTCTCTTACTTTATGGGACGTGTCAATAGTTTTACACCTTTTTCATAACGATGAATGAAGCGCAAAAAAGTTGAGACGCAGAAAAAAAAACGGTCGCAACAAGTCAATTTATAATGAGTTGAATAGACATTTTGGGAGAGTCACAATTAAAGTGCACACCGTACAATTGTAACAACAATGGTCGTGTGTCTTAGCCTTGATTACAATGTATAACAGAAAAAACCAAACAGCGCATTGATTCAATTTGACGTGTTCTCTGTCATAGCTTTGTGATGCTTCTTCTTTTACTTCCATTAGAATGTCCAACACAAATGCAATTAGTTGGCGCAATATTGATTGGTTTTCGGATTGATTTCGACATTTATATTGACGGAAAATTTAGATCAATAATAATGGCTGGTTTGAGGCATCAATCAGCGTCATTTTGATTACGGAATCAACCCAAGAACACCACAAAACCGCAAAGCAAAAACGGAACTAACGCCTATTGAACAGCAATATTTAGGCATCAATAAAATTAATTTGCAAGATTTATTGCTCAATGATGATACAAACATAGATACGTATCTTATTAAAATAACCTCGTGCAGCTTGGCGTCATTTCCTCCACTTCCATATGTTTGCAATGATGTTTGAACTTTGACAAGCAAGCTTCTACAATGGAAATTAAATGCGAGTGGAGACGCCACAAAAATGACTCCAAAATCGTCGATTAATGATCGAACTACTTTATAGAATAATCGATTGAACTTGCGCTTTCTATGGAACAAAAGTGTAAGTGTGATTTATTGGCTGTATCGAAAATATAGGCTCAAAGAATGCAATATAACGCGAGTGTAAATAGTGTGGTTCCGTCATCGTCATCATGAACGTGCCATCGATTCAATCCCTCCTCCAACCGCGAATTTTACTTTCAGCACACGAACACAGCCGTTGTCTTCACGTCGCTTTCAGCAAACAAATGTTATTGTTGTTGCGTTGCGTCTTCGCTGAAGCGGCTTGATTCTCTCTGATTCCATTTCAGCACCTTCCAGATATCGAATCTCTGCGTGCACGAAAAATTGTATAAAAGTACTAGCGCCGAAGAGGTAGGCATCAGTTGATTTTGTGAAGCGCAAGATAAAACGTGAAACAGAAAGATGAAGGTAAATGAATTCACGAAAATTTTAAGTTATTTTTTCAACTTGAATTTGCAGAGCAATTTCTTTGTGAATAAAAAAATGAGTTTGTGTTTTCGTTGAGAGATTTTGTTATAATTACAAGTTATCACTCATTTTCATGTGCATTACGATTTTTTGTGAATCTTTCGAGGAAACGTCAACGATGCGCGTCGCATTTAGTGTTCAACAAATTGTTTGCATTGGAAAAACAAATGTGTTTGTGATATTTTAGCGCTTGAGCTGTGATTGAAATCATTAACCTTCTTCGGTTTTAATTCAATTGTTTCAAGTGCTTTTTATTTACGTTACCGATTTTTCATTAGGTATTTATTTGCTTGCTCGCTGTGTTTGCTTACGCATCAGCTTCAGCCATCAGTACTGGATGGAGTGGTGGTGGTGGCTGGCCATCGTACGGTAACTTAAATTTTTGTTTACATTTTTCTTCTCTGCACCCATGTGAAATGACCGATAAATATTGGTGAAGAGCGCATTGCTCAATCAGTAAATCGTTGAACTGATTCTAATCTTAACTATCATTTAGGCTCGGGATGGAGCTATGGGGGAGGATACGCTCACGCTCCAGTTAAAGTTGTGAAATGGGTTGCACCAAGCCATGGATGGTCAAGCGGCTGGAAACAACCAAGCTACTCATCAGGTAATTCAATCATTTTGAACTTGGGTCATTTGTTTTGGCAAATTGAATCGAAAACATTTTTGATGATAAAAAAATTAGAAAAGATTCGTTTAATTGTTATGAGAATCCTCATGATGATTTCGATTGCTTTAATTTTTTTATTACAGGATGGTGGCCAAGCTCCGGTATGTGTGATTCTATGACGAAACTCCTATGTGAGACACAAATATGGAACAAGCACAATTTTCGAAGAAAAAAAAAACAATTTCAAAATCTGTCGAAATTCCAAATTTTAAACATTTTTCTTTTCTTACACAGGATGGTCAAGCAGCTCTGCTGGATGGCCAAGCGCAGGTAATTGAACAAAAGATTTGTTCTCCATTAAAAAAATCTCTTTTTTTTCTCGATGATTGTCATTGAGTTTGTTGAATTTTATTTGTGTGTTTCAGTTAGTTAGAAGTATATATTAGACAACATATTCAGGAATTTGAATATCAAAATCAACAAAATCTAAAATATTTCAAATGTTCCTAAAAAAACTCATCGATTTCTGTTGAATTTTTAAGGCTGGCCAAGCAAACCGAGCTATGGTAGCGGTTGGTCAGGTGCCTCTGCATGGCCAAGCAGCGGATGGTCCAGCAGTGCATGGCCATCGAGTAGTGCATGGCCATCAAGCAGTGCATGGCCATCGAACAGTGCATGGCCATCAAGTAGTGGATGGAATGGTTTGTATCTTTAGTTCTATTGAAAATATATTCCAATTTTTTTTTTAAATCGTTTCAATTATTTTTTTTCGACGAAAATTTACGATAAAACTACATAATCGAAAGTAATCATTCCTCTCCGAAAAGTTCTTCTCTAATGAGAGTGTAAAGAGCATGCATCAAATGCATATTATTAATTTTTCTTAAAATCGTCTTCAATTCTCTCTAAAAGCATGGCCAAGCAGCTCATCTGGATGGTGGTAAACTGTAATACTCTGTGGAGCCCATTTATGAGTTGTGCACAACACAGCCAGCCCATTTGCCGTTTTCTTAAAAATAATAAATTGCTTGACGAGCAATCAGAAAAACAAATACAAAAAATGTACAATCAATTATAAAAGAGAAGAAGGGCCAGATTGCTTTTTACAACTCTACTTTAGTAGTAAGATGAAACGAAAAACCAATAAAAAACGAGATTTGTAAATTTGTTTGTTTCAATTCGTTTGCAAGGATTTTATTTTCCATTCAACAGCTCTTTTTATTGTATGCACTTGTTGAGATTAGCCACATTTTTGGCAGCAATTCGAGTTTTTTTCGAGCGTTGAATATGAAGCCGCCGAAAAATTTAAACACAAATTTCAAATGCGTTTTAAACGCAAGACTGAATCGAATTTAATCTGGGATCAAAATTCAAAACTAATTTCAATAAAATATCTAGAGTTTATTTTACTTATTTCGTTTTAAAATTATGCGCTGCTTTATTGTTAAATCAAATCGGACAAACGAATCATCCTTAGAATTATTTGATTAAATTTGAATTTTTGTTCCATTTTAATTGATTATTCTTGACTAATATCGAAATTCATCATAAACTCTCTACCTTTATTCTCAATTCATTTATTAGAAAATCATTGATTTTACAAATTACTTCTAACTACGATCAGCTGTTGATGTTAGTACAATGATGCAAAATAATATGGATTTCGAGTTTTGCTCCATATTGAATATCTCTTTAGCTCTTTTGCGTGACCTCGCATCCTCTTTCTTTGTTTTTTTTAGTGAAGGAAAACTAAAAAAATTCTATATGATTTCCACTCTATTTATTGCTTCTTTGCTTTTATCATCTGATTCGTCGCATAGTTCATTAAATTCTCTGACATATTCAATTCTTTTTGCAAAGAAGATTCTGATATTCCAATTAAAAATCAATTTGAACCGCTTGTGTTTCCACACAAACAACAACGAAAGTACGAGCATATAAACAATGTTAATGCATATGACCGTTTCATATACATGTATGTAGGGTGTCAAATTATTTGAATTCAAATCTTGAAGGTATTCAACACCGTCTATTGTCAAGTTAAAATTGACTTTCAAATTAGATTTCAACTGTAAATCTTTAAATTAATCATACCGGTGCACAAATGGATATGAACTACTTAGAATATTCGTTGGACATGTTTCGATACGTTGCAATGAAATGTGAACATAACATTTGAATATAGATTTTGATGTAGAATATTTCAAAATATCTTAAATGAAGTTGAAAATTGGTTACGGTTTCTAAATTGACTCTTTTATCAAATCATTTGAATGAAAAATATGATCTTCCAAACATGAACATGAATGCCAGTTCCAAATTCAAACTTGAAAAAAGTCAGTAGTAAGTTGCGTGAGTCGAAACACGATTGTGATGTGCTGTGTGACATATCTCAATGGGACATTCAATTTGATATGTTTCGAGGTTATGTGCGATAAGTGTCAGTGAAAACATCTGAGAGACGTACGTTTTTGTGCCGCAATCGAATTGAGATAAATTTGTAAATAAAATTTCGGTCAAAATGTGGTTGCGTCGAAGTATATTGGCACCAAAATCAAGTGGCCGTTTTTTCTCATCGCAAGCAACAGAGGCCAGTGTAAAATTCGATAATTTCCGTACATTGGAATCGAATCCAACCAACCACACTGAAGCTCATCTCGCCCGCTTCTATACAGTCGATCCGAGTTTGCGGAAAACCACTTTTCATAAGACAACAATGCCAAAAAAGTACTTCGAGGATACAAAAGCATTCACTGAAATGAGTTTGATGGTGCGTGAGCCAGCCGTCGAAGTAATTGGATACCTCAACAAAACGGATTATACAAAGCCAATCAATCGTTTTGTATTCTACGGTGAATTGGGTGTTGGAAAATCGTTACAGTTGCTTCATTTGATTCACTACGGCCAAGCAAATGACTTTGTTATTGTGCATGTTCCATGGGTGCCCGACTGGTTTAAGCGGCCAAAAGAGCGATCCAATTCGGAAACCAAAGAAGGTTATTTGGATATTAACATTGATGCCGCTTCTTGGTTGATTCACTTCAAAACACAAAACACGGACTTGTTAATGAAATTGGATTTGAAATGCTCCAAAGAGTACGTTTGGTCACAGCGTGAGTCGACCCCAGCTGGATCAACACTATTAGAATTGATTGAACATGGAATAAATCGCGTGAAATTCGCCACCGACACAATTGCAGTGCTTTTGGAGGAGTTGAAACAACAGTCAACGGAAGGCAAGTGCCGAACCATGGTTGCCATCGACGGATTCAATGCATTCTTCCACCCGAAAACCGTCATGAAATTCGACAACAAAATCAAAGCAACGCCGGACGACATTACAATCACACAGCCATTCTTGAGTATGACACAATCGGACTGGACCGGAGGAGTGTGTTTGCTGGTCGTCGATAAATGGGCTCTGTCCGAAGACCGAATGGAATCCAATTTACCGAAATACCTAATGGGACGAAAAGGTTTCGAATTCATCGATCCATTTGTTCCGATGCGAGTCGATTTGTACAACGATCAAGAGTTCGATCACGTTATCAACTACTATTTAGACCGAAAATGGATTCAAAACTATGTTCCTGGCCTTGACAAAGAGCTGAAATTCTTATCGGGACGAAATGCATACAAACTGAAACAAATCACCGCACCATTGTAAAACAAACACTTTCCTTTTGGCTTAACCAGTCCACATTTATTATTTTTTTTGTTTTTCGAAATAAATGTTGATTTTTAAGAAACGTTCGAAAATTCAATTAGAATATTTACAATTGAACAGCTAGCTTAAAAAAATCTGACAGGCAATATAATAAAAAAATTAAATACGAAAAAAACTACTTTCAAATGGCTTTGACTTGAATTTTCTCCCTCTCCCTTTCAAATCACATCGAAAAGAAACATTCAATGGAAAAGTGAAGAATATTGTTTTCAAAATGGAATTGTCGATTGTCAAAAGAAACGGAATATACGTGGTACATTAATATTATTACTATCTGCTATGGAGGTGATTTATACGCTTAGTTTCGCTATGCTTTGGGCCGTTACTCTAGTTATATGAGTGTTGATTTTAACATAAGCTGCCCTCTGGTTACTTGGAATAAAGCATCTAAGTGCTTCTGCTATTTAAACTATAATATTTTGTTTGCATTATTTTGGTCGACGCACGGCAAGAGTTTCGGGAAGTCAACAAACTCAGACCCAAAGCGTAATATTCCCTTGAATGTTATGCCAACCATACTGCCCCAAAATAGCATGAACAACATGTTCTCCGTATTATACTCTTGCGGTAGAATTACCGATGCGCAGAACATTGCAATGGCAAACACTAAAACGGACGGAAACTGGAATGGAAAAAGAAGTTGTCGTCAATTAATGATCCAGTTGGATTTCATGGACAAAAAAATATTTCAGTTACCGTGGCTTGTTTCCATCCTTTTTGTACTTCCAATGGGCAAGGAATGAGTTTTCCTTCACTATCTTGGATGACGTAATTACCAAGGAACAGATTGATGGCATCCTGAAGATAGAATGAGATTCGTATTTATTGGTGGAAAGAGAGTGAATATAAATGTACACAGTGAAGGTAAAGAGGAAGAAAAATTGCTTAGAATCTTTTTTTCCAGAGAAATAAAATGAAATTATCAAAAATAATACCTGTCGAAATCCATCGCTAAAATTGTTCTTAATATACCGTGTCATCGAATTGACACCATCTTGCAAAGCCCCTTGAATGGTTCGTTTTCCAGTTCTGGTGAAATCCGTCTTCAAAGCTCCGGTGCCCGAGTACTGCACCGAAATCAAGTCGGCATTATCAGCCCATACGTTTTTGAACAGCGAATCGAATGTGATAACCGATTGAATCGATTGTCCAAGCGATAGGATATTCAGTTTTTCCAACACTTGTTGTAGAGAGCGTCTGGCCAGCATACTTTGCACCACATTCGTACGATCCAAACAATCGATGCAATTGGTCCGGAATACTCCAGATTGCGTTGAAATGACTGTGCCATCAGTTTTCACATGGAATACACCCATTTCGTCTTGCTCATGAGCCAATCGATCGATTAAGATGTTCAAACGATGCCATTGCATTTTACGGCATTCAGCGTGGAAATCAAACGATTCATAACGGATATTCGGTAACCCTAGCTGATTGATTAGATTCGAAAAACCTTTCGCCAGTAATTCTTCTTTGCCACGATGATCGATCTAATTTTTAAAAGATTTTTGAACATTAGAACAAATTATGGGATGTTTACGAACATTTTCGTACTCACCAAATTCACATAAACATGTCGACCGTAGGTTTTAAGCATTGTCTCGGCATGCTTAAGAGCAGCAGATAGGTGCTCCTTTGTCAAGTCGATATTTAATGATGGCTTATAGCGAATATCTGGACTCTGTGACCAGTACAACGGAATGCTGCCCCGAATTTGTACAAATGAAATTTTATCGTTCAAATATTCGACAATTTGCTCGGTTTCAACGAAGTTTGCACAATCCCCCTGTAACAAAGAGTAAACCAATATGTTCAATTTGCAAATTTATTTCAGAAAGGAAACGTTTCAACTCACATCTTTATCGATACCACGACGGAAGAAACGCGTACCAGCTCTATGAATGGAACGTCTTGAAATCAAAGCCCATGTGAAGGTGCTGTTGTTTACGTTCACTTGATTTATCGAAATGACTGCAAGACAAAAGAATGAATTATCATATATGTATTTTAAACAAAAACTCAAGTTTTTTAGGTCAAATTTAAGAGATTACAATCGAAATCGTCTCTTGCAAGATACATTGTAACTTTCAATTCAATCATGAGATACATACAGCCGTGAATGATAGGCAAACAGAATCGTCGGAGCGATGGTGTTAGGAAATCTTTCAGCAAATGTCCGTTCCACATGAATCGACGGTCAGCTCGTTGTGCCATACCCGACTGTAACAAAATCATTCATTTGATGTTATAAAATTTAGATATTTTTTTCATCACAAATAGCAAATCATCAACAAGTTCCAATTTTACCTCATGAAAGTTTGGGCCCATGGCACTCAATCTCTGAAGAGTATGCGTTAGATCGTAAGTGTAGGAAAAGTAGAAAAATGGCGTGTTCAATGTTTGGTTAATCATCGACAAATATGTTTCATTTTGAACTTTCTGTAAAAAAAATCGATAAAAATCATTTTCAATTTGGATTTTTGTCTTATATTTTGGGTCTGAAGTCAGTGTACCAACATGGTATGAACAAACCTGAGTGTCTGATAAGTGAATCAATGATGGAATAAATGGTATCAATTCATGTCCAGCCAAACGCCATATAACCTGATTATTGATAACACCCACAAATTCACGATGCGTTGCCACCACCAAGTATTGGCCACTGATCAACTTAATCGTTCCCAAAATGCCGCATACTTTCCGCAGTGTGCGACTGTCGTAGTACTGATTGGTGATGCCTATAATTAAAATTGGTTAAATTGATATACGGACCAAATCAATTGAATGTTGCCCTCAAACTTACCTTGAACCGTGACAGTGCCATTTATTCGATTGATAATCAACTCTTCGACGCTATCCTTTGGTTGAATTATAAATTTGTCATGTAAACTGTATCTGTAAATTTAATCCATAAAATGTGTTTTTAGACATCCGACGAATAAACATGAAATCATGAAAGCAAATTTATCTAGACGTCATAATGTATGTCAACGCGTAAAGGCTGAATCACGTATCCATGTTGTGTTGGCAAAAAAATTTCCGTTTTCATTCACTTCAATTGGATGAGCAATATTTTTGACTTAAAATTTAACTTACAACTTAATATCATCGTAAACACTCATTGTGGCTAAAGTTTTTTTTCTCTTATTTTATTCCAAGTGAGAGACGATGACGATGACACAGACAAGTTGTTGTTGGTGTAAAAACAATACTGAAAAAAATTGACTGAGCAAACGTCAACGAGCTGTCATTGGTGTCGCAGCACATGCACTGCAGAGACGCACACATACATCGATGTGATTGGGGTGTCTGTTGTTTTTATCGTTTCAGAAAAAAAATTTGTTCCAGTTTTCAGTTGAAAATTAAAACTCAAAGAATTCCAATAGTTTTAAAATCTGTTTTTTTATTTTCAATATTTTTTCTAATTAAAAATACAAATTATATACAAATATGTCGAGACTCTCTCAAATTGAATGGGTCCAATTTAAAGAAACACAAATAATTGAAACTAAAATTTTTAGACGGTGCTACGAATTCATTCATTGATCCAACTTTTGACCAGGAATTCATTGCCATCGACTCCAGCCGCGATGACTTTGCACTTGTTCTCTGGGTCAAGCGTGGATGTAATGCTGGTGATCGGACCATTGAAGCCAGATTCCGAGCAATTCTGCTCGCCAGCCATCATATTCCACACGTAAATCAATCCCGTATTATCACCCAGGTAGAGAATTCCATTTTCATGGCACCAGCTCAAACAGATCAAGCAGGTCGAGTGTTCCTTTTTGAATAATGTCATGCCCGTATCAATATCACACACATACAACACACAGTCCAGAGCACATGATGCCACTTTAGTGCCATTTTTATTGAATGAAACGCTAGTCACTTCATCGGCATGCGTAAATAGTAATTTGGTATCAATTGTTTCGACCGAACCGGGACTCAACCGTCCCGATGTTTTCAGTCTCCATAGTATCACATCGCCACTTGCCAATCCAACCACCACTTTTATCATATCTTTCACATGGAATGCATCCACGGTAATCACCTTCTCTTCGAATGAGTAATATGCAACGAGTGAATCGGATAGACTGTACGGTTTGGTGTCGAAGCCCTTCCATACTCTGGAAATTGCAGATAAAAAACGTTTTAGAATGTAGCGACTAATTTTGAAACTTGATGAAAAACTCACTTAACGCTACAATCCCAACTGCCAGACACCAAAACTCCCACATCATCCATATACGATAGACATGACACGGCATCGTCGTGTGCAGGAATCTCGTTGATTTTTCGGCCATAATCACAATCGTAGATCATACTGAAAAAAAAAAGATACAAATTAAACCATGAAACTGATGTCGATTGATCAGATCTGATGTTGACTAGTAACTTACATTGAATTATCCCAACTGCCCAAAATGAATGAGTTTTGATTTGGAATTTTAATGCAAGCACTCAACGGCATATTTCCCATTGAAACGCTCCTGAAATTGTGGATTAGTCATTATCATATTTCTTCTCTAAATAGGGAATGTATTTACCTAACTTGTCTTTTTCCCTTCATGTTATAACACTTCAGCAAACCATCTTTACCAGTTGTGACAACCAGATTACCATCGACGAGTACTGAACTGATGAGGTCTTTGTGACTTTGATACGTGTCCAAAAATGTTATCGCTTTGAATGCATCGTTGTGAAGATCTTCGTTTGAATCGACAACATCGGAAATAAACTCGCGATCTGCACTCACAACACTGCTCAGCCTTCTAAACCTATTAGTACAAAGTCTGGGCACATGTGGTTTTTTGAATAATTGCTTTGGAATTTGACCAAATTCGGAGATTTGTACTTCAAGAGCATGCCGCTTGGTTAAATCATTGATATGGTCAAGATCAACGGCCCCTTCGTAACACAAGTGATAAAAGAGATTATTCGCTTTGATTGCTTCTTCGCCACGCTGTTTATACCCGAATATTAAATCAATCCAGTGATGTAAACTTTTCGATACATGCTCCGATTCAAGGCCTTCGCGGAGAACTGAAATGAACTTCTCTGGTGAATTGTCAGCCCAGGGTGGTAACGCGACATGATTCACTGGTGTTCCATCGGCTCGTTTACCAAAGTTTATTTTCATATTGTTCACGAGGAAATCGCCTTTTTTGTTGAGGTCATAGAATTCGGGAATCAATTCCTGAAAATGGACAAACAATCCCATTAAATGTAGAGAATTTTCAAATTTTATATTCAACTTTCTTTCTTCATTAAAAATTTATGATGAACGAAGAGCTTTCATAAGAATTGTAATGCAAATTCTTCCAATAAACTGGTCTCACCTTAAAATCAGCCATATTATGCAGGCAATTGCGAAAAGTGTCCGAAACTTTATTAAACATTCGATCTGGATGGTCGAAGTAGCCATTTTGCAAGCACAAAATTAATTTCGGATGTTTTCGAGCCAAGTAAAAAAGTACGAGAGCTGGAGCAGAATAATGAGATCCATATAAAAACCTGAAATAACAAACAATCATTAAAATCATTACCCAATAAAAATGTGTCATGTGAAAAAATGCTTACTTTGGTTCATCCATCTCTTCACATCGCTCTTTGAGTTGATTCAGTCGGTTCTCATTCAAAGCTCCAATTGGTTTAGTCAAATCTCGGTAGCTGTTGGGGTCATTCAAGTCAATCTCCTGTGATAAGTAATCACTAATCACCCACGGAAATACTGGATATTGTGTTAAATCATTGGTGGTACGGTCTGCTAAACTGTAATCAACGAACAACCACATGGAACGAAATTATAATTGTATTTTCGTCAAAATGTTGGAATTGTTTTCCAATTAAGCCATCACTTTTGCCAATATTCTGACTCACCTATTTAAGTAGAGTAAATAATCGTAATTGGATATAATGCCATTTTGCCATTTAAGTGTCATACTCTCTGGTTCAGTCTGCGTAATTTTTACACAGCTTTGTGATATTGTTTGTTCATAAAATTCATCACGCTCATTATCGTTGCGAAATGACACATACAGTATGCGTTCTGAGTCATTCTCCGACCATTTAATCTCGAGGCCCTGTAAATATTCAATTGAATGTTGATGAGAAAAAAATCGTCGACTTTTCAGTTAATTGAAAGTGCTGATTTAGTATGCAAAAGTCATTACAATGTGTTGCAAAACGAATCGTCTGCAAATCAAACTGTTTATACTCTCCAAATTGATTTTGATAACTGGATACTGAAATTGATGAATAACATCCAATTAGTTATGATAAACATTGACATTGATGTAAATAATTACCGGTTGAATATTGTTGTACGGTTGAAAATAAATGCGTTTCGTGGATAGTAGAAGTCGTCCTGGATTCAAAATGAGTGGATGGATTTCGTCAACAGTGTGGTCAACTAGCACTGTTTCATAGATATCGTCTAGCCAAAGTGGGTTAAATTTGACACGCTTATGACGTGAGTAAACAATGGTCGCAATCTATCAACACGATACAAAAATACATTGTTTAATTTCAATCTGTTTATCGCCCTGAAATTTCATCAAAATTCTTACCATATCGTTCTGTTCGCATACATGAAGTTTCGATGCTCGATGAAATTGTCTCAATTGATCAAGATACTCATAGACTTTGGCATAATGGAAATTGAATAGAAACGTGCGTGTTTCCATCTTAAATGTATATGGAGCGACGACGTTTTTTGAGAGCATTTCAGTGTATTGATTGCACGAAACCGCGAGTACATTGGATTCTTTGCCATTGATTTTGCCCGGCCATATGAAGATACGACTACAATTTTTGTAGGTTATTTTGATAAGTGGCAGTTCCAAGTCTTTCGGATCGAATACTATAGATTTGGAGCACATTTTAAGGTGGCCAATGCACAGCTGTTCATCAGGTACTTTGATATCATCGGATGGGCTCTCCGTAATCAGGTTCACGAGAAAATCTTCAAAGTAAATTTCATTCGGTTCAAGCAACAGCAATGAAAATCTACGAAAAATTGAACAAAGAAAACGTATCAATAAAACCGGTCTTGCCTATCGATGCACCGATATGACTCATTTTTCATTCACTATCATCCAAATTTAAAATTGATAAATCATATTTTTCTTCACATTCACAATCAACAGGTAATTATTGGTTTCATTGATGTAAAACCATTTTCTCACCGTTCTTTGTCCATATTTCCACTGGATATCGTCAATACTAAAACTCGACTAATATATAAAAATTGCGTATTTTGCTATTGATTTACTTAGAAACACTAAAATATTGCACCAAATGTCAATGCATAGTAGAAATAGAAAACAAACAACAGAAAAAAAAACGTAGCTCCGCTGCGATTATGGAACAGGCGGCTCACACTTGCCCACACAATAAAGACATTGCGAATGACAATTCAGTTTGTTGATATCTCTCACTTTATATTCTGTCTTCTGTAGATGAATGAAAACAATGAACAGCAGGCAATGACAAGCTACATCTGCTGGTGAAACCATCGAAACAAATCCTCTGTCACGCTGAAACCGCTTAAAAATTGACATAAAATAAACGCTCGTGTTTTTTCTTCTGGTTAATTTTTGTATGTGTTTTTTTTATTTATTTATAAGTATAAATGTTGCATTCAATGGATTTTTAAAAACCGAATAAACAAAATAAGAAGTGCCATCAACATGAAATGTTTCACTTAACCTTAAATTCACTTCTTTTGCTTCTTCTTTTCTGCTTCCTCTTCTTTCTCTTTCTCGATGATGTTCACATACTTTTCAATGGTTTCGGCATCCAGCATTTTCAATGGTTTATCGCGTTCCATGACCGCAATTTCCAAATTTTTCTGACCGGACTGAGCCACTTCTAGCAATGCTTTAATCGCCAATTTTACAGCACCATCTTCGGTTGCAACTTCATCGTCGGTGTAGTATTTTTCGAGGAATTCACGCACTGTTTTTGCGGAACGACCGGTGGCATTGCCCTTCCATTCGTAGTAAATACCAGACGGTTCCGTTTGATACAAATGTGGCTTGCCATCATAGTCAAAGCCACCAATTAGGCATGAAATACCGAACGGACGACGACCATTACTTTGGGTGTACTTTTGTTTCAAACCGGCGATATATCTGGAATTGAAATTCGGAGGGCATTAATTTTTATTTTGAATTGATTGTTCTTTCATTTTGAATTGATTGTTCTTTCAATTAAATTTAAATTTAAAAAAGCGAGAAGTAGTAATACATACCTTGTGATATATTCCAATGTAACTGGATCTTCAACACTGAGTTTATGGCTTTGACACTCAACCTGTGCTCGATTGATCAAAATACGAGCATCGGCTGTTAAACCAGCAAATGCCATCACTACATGACTGTCCAATAGGCAAATCTTGCGAACGGTTCGCTCCTCTTGCAATTTTGCCACCGATTTTTTCTCGACGCCTAACACAACTACATTGGCTCCTCGTACACCGACCTATGACATAGCAATAATGGAACATTTTTTTATTATCTTCAGAATTATAATAGATTTTAACATGAAAATTTGGACATTTCCTTAAAAGAATGTGGAATTTTTTTGGAATTTTCGGAAAAATTTCATTCGACTCTCCGTGAAAACCGGTCCAAAATCATTCATGACATGCAATTTTTTTTTCGGGCGATGGAGTTTATAGGTTATGGTTTGTACATACAAATTCTATGTAGTTGCGAATACTTACGGCAGTGGATCCCTTGCGAACAGCTTCTTGAGCATATTCAACTTGCAATAAATGACCATCGGGTGAAAAAATTGTAACAGCACGATCGTATCTCGCCGACATGATTGATTATTAATTTGATTTAATTTAAAGCACAAAAAATCTGAAACACTTTTGTTTTTGTCGATGACGGACAACGATGAGATGACAACAATTCTAAATGCTATATGATGTACAATTTTGTTTATGTTTGACAGTTCGTACATTCGCTTTTTAGTTTGGTGTTACCATGCGCAACATATTCGTTCATTGAATATCGTCTGAAGTGTTGAAATGGTAAAACTAGCGATCAAATTACGATGAAATAAATTGTTATTCAATTTATTTTAAACTATTTTGAAAACAAATCGATTTTTTATCTAAAAACCAGTGGAAAAGACTGAAATTTTCAACAATAAATCTATATTAACCGCTGACAGCGCCATAATTTGAAACATTTGTCGTGTCATTGAACGACACCGATCGGTTGCTATAGTCAATGCAAATTCGTGTGTGTTATTCTTTTTCGTTTCAACCTTTATTTTTTATAATATCTGTACTGCTATTCGTTGCTGCTCCAGTGTGCTTATTAGTTAGTTTATTGTATAAATAGAAAAATGTCAGATGTTTTTGACAATTCATTTGTAAAATAAATTTAATATTTTTTGTGGCCTAGAATAAGTCTAAGTGATTAAGAGATTGGAATGGCCTTAACACGGAAGCTAACTGCAAAAATATGTAAGTGAATATTTTTGGGTGACGAGTGAAAATCGGTCATTTGTTCAATGAAATTAGGAAAACCGTGTGATATTCGCACAGTTGTTTGTGAATGATGCGTATTGTGTGTGTGTGTCAGACAGAGACGGCCGAAGCAACAGCAGCAGAAGCAGCAGAAAAAAACATACTCAGCCTAACACATAATATTCGTAAAAAAGACACTATTCGAATTATTGCCCACACACAAGGTTAACATATTCATTCTTCGCTTCGATTCAATACCAATTTCGGTGCACATTGTAAAAATTGTTGTTGCCGCGCCGACGTTTACGAATCGGATATGCGAATTTTGGGTTTATTTTTTTCATAAACCAAATGCGTGTTTCTTTGTTGTTTTTTTCTCGCTTCTCTCCTGCTGAATTGTGGAAATGTGATGTGGATTATTGTAATGCGGCCGCGTATTCGTGCCAGCTAGCTCCGATATAGTACGAATACGCTTTTCACACGATATATATAAGCCGTAATTGGTTTTCTCTCTGACTGATTACGATTTATTTTATTGCTGTTTCTCCCGCACCATAACCACATTGCGCACCACTACCATCCATAATTAGATTTGTTTCAATGCCTTATGGAAATTAGCTAGAATCGTGTATACAGGCACACACGTACGATTTTCTGTTGTTGTTGCTGCTGTTGTTTGTTGTTTGTGGTCAGTTGTACGATGGATGAAAATATGATGATTTTATTTCCATTCGATTCCTTTTGATTTAGATGAAATTCAAGCCCACTCACAGAAGGTGACATCGTTGGATATTGGCGAAACGGGTCGCGTACTCGTTACTGGTGGTCAAGATCGCAATGTCAATTTATGGGCATTCGGAAATGAAAAGTGTTTTATGTCACTACCCGGCCACAATGGTCAAGTGGATTGTGTGAAATTTACGTCGGGCGATGATTTAGTGTATTCAGCCGATGAAAATGGTATCATAAAGCGATGGGATCTAAACACACAACCGGGATGCGTCACATTTTATGGTCACATGAAAAGTGTACGAACACTCGACTTTCATCCGCATGGAAATTACATTTTTGCTAGTGGCAGCAATGATACCACCGTTCGACTGTGGGACGTTCGAAAGAGTGATAGTTGCTTTAGTAAATTTCGTGGTCACATTGCAAACGTGAATTCCGTGAAATTCTCACCCGATGGCTGGTGGATTGCATCGGCTGGAACGGAAGGTAAGTTAATACAACAGTGAATGAATATTATTCAATAACGGAGAGTCGAATTATAATGAATTCAAAAGAAATGTGAGCTGTATGCTGTGCAGTGAGAGGCGGCGTGTGATTTTGATGTTTATTGTTACGCATCAACTTATCTATATACATATGCACACAATTCACTTTTCTTATGAATGATTTGAATGTATGTTGCATAAATTAATATTTTGAATGAAACGCACACGAGTTTGAGTGGAAAAAAGTTCACAACATTAATCAAAATGCATGCATATTCACAGGTTCAGTGATCATTTGGGATATACGAACGACGAACAAAGTGATGGAGTTCCAAGAGACTGCATCACCCGTCACATGTATCACATTTCATCCATCCGATTTCATTCTGGCAGCCGGTCGAAACGATGGAACCGTTGATTTATATGACTTAGAAACGAAGTCGACAATCTCACGCGCCGATGGTAATGGCCATACTGTTAAATGTATCACCTTTGGGTTAGTATTATGGATTTCACATATGATTGTTGTTTACATCACTCTGTTTCAGAGAGTGCATAATTGCTGCTGAGTAGGTCTAAGCTGAGCTGAATTTGCTAACTCAGGCGCCTGAAGCGTT